ATATATGTACGTTCTTGACTCAAATGCATACCAATACAAATACACACAGAAGAATATACAATCGAAGAAACCCCACAGAAAAACGTGAAAACCACCGGACATCTGGTACAGTGAAGTTTCTCAACCTAGTTGTTCTTCATAGCGTGCACTTTGTGAGCATTAGGTACAATTATCAACGCAGTCAGTTCAATTCCCTGAATATATTACTACAATATAAATAGGTATTGGACGAATCACAAAATATCACAATTGCTTGTCAATACGATCATATATCAGCATGTACTGTGTGCAATTGATTCGATCACTTGCACATGATTCTGTACAGACTTCCAAGTTTTCCGCCTCAGGATACGGTTGCAATATCACGTCACAGTTATATTATCACAAAATATCATTGAAAGCACTCATTGGGCAAATATAACAGCTAGTCACACATAAAAACAGGTACGCATACTATTTTTGACTAATTATCACAAGTCAATTATCTTCGCCGACACGATTGTTGATACTTTTGACATTTACCGTTCTAATTCATTGCGTGATAGGAGAGGAGGGGAATATAGAAAATACAACACTAATAAACCTTTTATTTGTACGCTTGCGACCACCTACGAACAGCAGCGAATAATAACCAAGCTCGGCAGCGATCTGAGGATTTACGGTAGTTCTCGGGGTCATGTATAATAAGTGGTAGATACTGGGGGTGAGACCCACAAGCACAATCAATTATGATAAATTTAAAAAAAAATAAACATCGAACAGATACGACGTAGTCTATGCGGCGCTTGATGTTAGAGAAGAGCAAACAAGTGGACTAGTAGCTAAAGGTTACAAAGGGGACTCGCATTCACAGAAAATAAAAATAAAAATGGCTTAACTCTACCAGCTTACCAAGTCCACATGAATATGTTTTGGTGCCGGCTGAACGGCTACAGTGGTTATGTATTATGTATCGTGGCCGAAAAGGCGGGCGAAGTGGAAGGGATGCGACAACGTTACAGGAATCACTGCAATGCAAACCGGGATTGACAATAACCAGTACCTTTGGGCTTTTTTTATAGAAAAAAAAAGATAAATGATAATGGAACACCTCATTTTTGAACGATATACTACTTGTTTTGAAGATAGTATGATAAAATTGTAACCACTATCAACACCTAGTGGTTTAGTGGTATAATTGCCCCCTGCCACGGGGTAGACCCGGATTCGATTTCCGGCTAGGTGATCCGTATATATTTTTATTTCTTTTTAAAAAAACTATAAATTTCATTATATAAAGTATTAAAATGCATACGTTATTATGAATCTGTGTGATTGTTACCTGTTATGCTGCCACAAATATTCCAACGGTAACTTCGATGGAATAAATTAATGTACCTCACTAGTTCAAGCGCTTGGTGTTTGCGAAGACGAGCTAATAGAGACAAAAAAAATACAAATGTACCAAGTTCCTTACTGAAGTATGCGGATAACAAATTCAGATCATCGGAGAGGGGCTACAGTATTTATTCACAAATACCATAGTCACCACCGGTCTATAACGACCGAATTCTTCTTCAGATTGTAGACGTAGGGGCATTATTTCAAATTTAATTTATTTGTTTTACACTTGTACACCATACAAGTTTAATATAGTCTCTCGTGATCACTTGTGTAACCTTAAGAGGCCAACGGAACTCATAACTCCATCGAGCGAGCAGCTGCTGCTTGTACGGACATGACCGCTAGCCCTACACAATTTGGTTGTCCTAACATATCGCATATGTCGATTCTTTCAGTACGACTGCGTTCGAATATAGCAGCTGTCAAAACATGTCGTAAACTATTGACTCCTACTCTAGAACATTCGTTGATTTTTATCCGATAAAAGATCATTCCATATCAAAGGTTTTGCTGTCTTCTTCATCCGTTAGATCCTCCATCTAGAATAATAGAAAAATGTGCTATATGTTATAACCTCATATCCAGATATGAGCACATCACACGCCGGTTTACTAGAGCAGGTATATGCGCTGCAAGACGGAAGGAATAGTGAAGATATACGAGGCACAGCTAAGAAAGCGTGGTAGTAGTACAAAACGAAAATGGTCTACACGCTCGTGATCATCGGAAACAGAAAGGATAATGATGGGGATTTGAAACGTCACTAGAGTACTCGAGATCAAGGCATTCACATCATGACAATTAATAGCAAACATCGGGCTAAAAATAGATGACAAGCGATACGAAGTATTTGGTTCAAATTAGGGCTTCAGCAACAACCCTCGTACTTATCCGAGTCTGATTAGATACCCTTGGAATGAAATACATTTATACCGAGAAAAAAAAACTCAAAATGCAAGGCGCTAAAGCCAATGCTACCGACACCACAGGCGATATCATATACTACCATTCGACTGGGAACGATTCGAAACGAAGCGGCTTGGGCATACCTAGCCAATACCCTCGGAGCCAGATACTTCACTACACAGTTTCAGCAAAACAATTCGGTTCAAATAACTCACCTCACTTAATTCACTCTCCTCATCATCGTCTCCACCAGCACCTTCAACATCTTTAAGCGCGGCCGGCGATGCGTACTTTCTAACGTAATCTACGAAAGGAGGGCCGCAATGAAAGGTCAATCTTTCGACACATATGTATTGTAAATTACTCTGAAAATACCAATAGCCGAGAAATAGAAGGGGAGCGAGTCGGAGAGTATGGGTCGGTTGCGTAGAGTTATCTTAAGGGATAAACACATCTTCAGCTGGATTCATGTCGTAATCAGCAGAACGATATGAAAGTATCGACGCAACCACACCGGGAGCGCCACCAAGCGTAACAAACCAATTCATACAGAAGGCTAAACATAGCCACAGTCAGGAGAGAGACGAAGCTGCAATCATCAAGGCAGGATGCCTAAGACCTAGTTTATTGATAGATGTACACGACATAAAAACGAAATCAGACAGTTCAAAGGTGAATAATGAGACTTCGGAAGTCCATATAGACTTACCTTTAACTCTGTTTTTGTAGGCTTCGGGCTCTCTCAGCAGCAGGGCCGCGGCCTCACCATTCAGCGGATCAGCGGGATTGGGGTAACATAGAAGTTGTGGCAGGAACGTTTCAAATACGTTGAGAAGATCTGCAGATAAATGCAAAGAGAGAATTAGACATGTTCAATGCTACTTGCCGCTCTATGAAAAAAATGCATCCAACATTTCAGCGTGTAAGTGCGAGCGTCAACATGACAGAACGTGCGTACGACCACGGTTTACCATTCGCGAAAGTGATAGATTTTTCAAGTTGGTCCATGGTAAGATCTATCGGACACGAACAATGTTTATGTATAAAAACTACCACCACATCTTGACATCCTAAAACTCCGGCACATCTGAGACTGAACTACACGGGCATACGAAAGCGATTTAAAGGACATACCGAACATTGGGCTCCAAGTTTGATTGATCACATCCAGACATACAGAGCCCGATCTGCATGGGGAGTTTGCAAATGAGAAAAAAAATCGGTTTAAACCACGTTTTAGTAAAACAAAAAGTTACGGACCACCCGTTGGTGCCAATCAGTGTTGCCGAAATAACAAATTACCATGCCTTCGTTCTCTAGCACTCGCTACCAGATAAAATTCTAGATCACAGATAAACACAAGGAGATAAAAAAATTCCAGTAGGGGCACACACGCACTCGCGAAACTAGAAAACTTACGATTCATCAATATTTGGGTGGAATATTTTATTCAGGAACCCAATCGAAGGGCTTTTATATGGGTATCCATTGGGCAGTTCACATTTGATCTTCCATCTACCGCCTTCGTAAGGACCTGGAGCAGGAACCAAACACAGACTCAATATAAACTTCAGGGTGTCAAGGCCGATTAGTGTGCCAATTTTCTCGTACAAGATAATGTTTTGTGAATTGGATGCATACTGAAGACATCTGAAAATGCTCAAACCGTTGGTCAATTGGGCAAGTTAAATCATCGGTCTTTTGTTAGATCGTAAATGGGTTAGGATTGGAGACGATACACAAGGGTGTTATATAACTGACAGGCAGAGACTTCTCTCAAATGTATCTTACTATACTAATACGAATAATTAAATTATGTTGAAAGTGAGATAAAGTATAAATAGTTTCCCTACCTAATCGACAGAAAACCAAACTTTCACCAAAACGAACGATGAAAACAGCTTATAAAAACTTACTATCTTTAGGACCATCCATGAAGATAATGAACTCCATCATGCTGTCATTCACGAGTGTGATGTCATATTCGGACATCATGCTGCAAGACAAAGTTCAGGAATTCAGTGAGATCATAGAGAAGAATCCGACCAGCGGACGAGAAGGCGCAAAGCAAGACGAGACAAAAATATTTTATCTCAACCAAGATATGAATGAAAACTTGGAGACAAAAATATTTTATCTTCACCAAGATATGAATGAAAACTTGGAGACAAAAATATTTTATCTTAACCAAGATATGAATGAAAACTTGGAGACAAAAATATTAGAAGTTCTTCATCCCGGTAGAAGTTACCAGCAGTGCAAAATTGAATAAATTTCTAAGGATGCACCAATAGATACATTTTGTTTCCATTGAAGTATGGACATAAACAAATAAAATATGAATCACTTGTATTGACAATCATAGTCGAACGACCGTGGCGTTAAACGTCGTACTATAAAATAGGTTTGAACCAATATACATACGCGAACACATGAATGTATCTATATATCAATATACGTGTACGTATACACACACACTCACACACACACATACACAGACACACACATGTATATACACATATACATACATACACACACACACACACACACACACATATATATATATATAATATAGAAATTTATATACATACATACATATACATGAACATACATATATATGTAGATAAATATATATACACACACCTATGT